GTGTCACTCACGGGGGACAGCACGGTGACTGTGGCCACTTCTGTGCTGCACATGGCGGACCCCTGAACAGTGCAGGAAGGAGGCCACACAGTCCAAAGTCCACGTCTGCCTTCGACTTCCCCAAACCTAGACTGTGCCCATCCCTCAGTACACACGGGGGTCCGGGACCCCCCAGATGCCGCCCGCGGTGCTCAAGCCCCTGATGTCAAACGGCTACAACCCGCACGGCCTGCACCCAGCCACGGATGGACTCTCTACCTCCAACCTGAGGACAGCGGGGTGTGGAGAGCCGGCCATGGTCACTGGGAAACCCCTATGCAGGTCAAGGCCACACTGTCCAGGGGTCGCCGCACTTGACCTTAGCTGAGGTGGTACACTGTAAACGGTCTCACCACTGAACAATGGGCAGATGCGGGGCCTTCGCACAATATGCACGTGTGGAGTCACAGCGCACGTCTTAAAATTACATTCTTTACCGACTACAGATCTACAAAGCTGGGAGAAAGGAGAGGACTTTGAACACGTGGCGTAGTTGCGTGATTAAGCACCCGCGGGTTTATGGAGGCCAGGCCTGCGTCTCTTCTGACGTGCTTCTACACAGGTCCGTTTCCCTGTTACGTACAACACAGAGCGTAAGTGCCAGAGCCCAGAATGCCACCTGAACCTGTCGTGCGAGCTGCAAGCTGTCACTGTCGGGGTCACAGCTGACAGAGGTGGCCCACGGGGCGTTGGTGAAACGCACGCTCATTTCAACGCAGGAACGTACGAAAGATTCTGAGAGACGCCGAGAACTTACTGCCACGCGTGTTTAAAGCTGGCGTGCTGGGGGGACGGGCTAAGGAATGAAATCTGAGGTCCAGCGGTGGTCACGGGGAGGGGGAGCCCGGCCCAGGGGAAGCGGTGAGCAGGAGCATGATGGCCAGGGAGGGGATCGGCTTATACACCAGGCACACGTCCAACCGGTGTGCTCTATGCTTGAAACAAGAAAAGCCACCCTGCCACGCTGGCTCGTGTCCCCGGGGTGACAATGCAGAGGCCTGGCCCCGCGACCCCGGGCAGACGGCGCGCACAGTGACCTCACGCCCGCGTGCACCACGCTGTCTCCCAGCATCTGCTCCACGGACGAGGAGGACTCGCGAAGCTCGGGTCAGAGTTACCGGAACAGAACAGCATCATCGAACCACGGCAGACGCCAGCGGCCGGGGCCTGGCTGTGGACACTCACCCCGCTCGCCGAGGTGCCCTCCGCGTCCTGGACACACAGCCGGACCCCGCTTTGCTGCGCTGTCACAGATCTTGTGGGCTTTCTTTGATGGAAGGCAAGACCCTCCCCCAGCAAAAAGGGCCCAGCTCGCCCTACGGTGATGCCCGCCTCATGGCAGCAGCACCAGGACCGGTCCCTTCAAATGTGCCACACGGCTACACGTGCTGAGGTCTGTGGGCCGCCCAGGCCAGCAAACTCAGACCTCAGATTAGGCGACAACGGCCCACAGACCCCACTGCAGAGCACGAGGCTACTTACTGCCCGAGTCTTAGAGCCAAATGACCTGTGGTCTCTCCCACAGTCGATGTCACCTAACTTCCCAATCAAGGACGGCCCCGCAACTGTCTGTTCCTCACCTGACGGTCACCACCGGTTCCGGAAACTTCTCCGTGAGACACTGTAAATTTGGCGAAAGCAGCTGGGGTCACTCTGAAGGCCTCTGTCCTTTAGGAGACCATGACCTGAAAGGCCACAATCTGAAGGATGGAAAAGGTGCCACACACACAACCTGCGCTGGACAAATCAAAAGAGAGAACACGGTCAGTCCCCCAGCCCGTGACTGAGGGGTGCACCCGGGCGCCTGGGCTCCCCAGGCTCACGGCAGCCAGTGTCCCTCACTGCCGCGCCGGGGCCTCAAGCGTGGACCCTCAGCCCCCTCGCTCCCCCGCTTCCGGGTAATTCGGGGCCACGTGACCGGCCCCGGCAGAAGCCCGAGGCGGGGGCGCCCCTACCTCTCCCGGGAAGAGGCCGTGGAGTCTCCATTGCTGCGGCGCTAAGCGATGCAGCTGGACAGAGCTGTACCTTGTGCTGTGTGTGTCTAGTGCGTCTCAGGGTGTGAGAAGCGACGTGACTCCCCTCACACGTGAGCTCTTCCGGTGCCCAGCGCCCGGGCCCCGCCGGTCGTTTCAAGTCCGTAAGTACTTACTCGCGGGTGGGGGGCGGTGTCGCTCCAGGGCGGTGTCCTCGGACGCCGCTGCGAGGCCCGACGACCCAGGGCCCACGGCCAGGGAGGAGCAGCTGCTCTGGGCCCGCACTCTCTGGCCACCGCCTCCTCCTGCGGTGGCCTCACTCACAAGGGCCTTCGTCCCACCCCGACTTCCCCCCAACCGCCTAACCCCTGAGTCAGGAGTGTCCCCGCGTGTGACGGTCGTTAGCTGAATCGAGGCGCTGACACAGGCCACACACCGTTCCGCCCTGCGGGTTACAGAGCAGCCTGTCCACACGCGTGGCGTAACAGGGCCTCCTCGCCCAGGACAAGCTCGAGGACAGCCCGTCACGCCGGCCTCAAGGGACGCGACGGGCAAAGAACGTACAACAGCGCCTCGCAGTGGACATGCTTATGCGTTTATTGGCGAACACGGAGGCGGCAGAGGAAACAAAGGCTCACGAACACTCTACACGGTTTCACGAGACGCACTGCGGGGGTGACCGAGGACCGACAGCGTCCTAGGGCCTCGGGGGGCGCATTCCCGGGGGAGGCGGGCCTGGAAGAGAGGAAGCGGGACCCCCATGAGGCCGTGAGGACACGCAACCAGCCAGGGACCTGGCGGGCGCCACGGCGCCCACGCGTCCCCACTCACCTCTGATTCCTGGTGGCGGGGGTCTCATGCCTGGGGGGGGCATGCCTATCGGTGTCCCACGGGCCGGGGGAAGGCCGATTGGTGGGCCCATAGGTGGCCTCATGCCAGGGGGAGGAGCCATGATGCCTACGCAGGGAAAGGGCGGACAGGACGAGCTCCGACACGGCTCGGCCACGACGACAGAACCGAACCCCAGGTGACACTGGGAGAGGTGGCCCCGACACCGGGCAGAGGTGCACACGGCTCCCTGACTGTCGCCGTGCCAGCCACCCCCAACTCAAGACGGCCCGAGGCCTCCGGTGGGAGCCGCGCGCCAAGCCCCGGGTGCGCCCCTCGCTGGCCTGCGCTCGGCACCCTCTCCGCGCAGACCCTCGGCCACCGCAGCACCCGATCCCTCCACGTCTGGCCCATCGGCTCCTCACCTGGCGGTGGGGTGGCTCGGCCCACAGGGGTGGGGGGCGTCCCCCGACCTGGTGGGTACTGCGTTGGGGCTCCGGCAATGCTGGCGGTAGCGGCGACGGCCGCAGCTGCCACAGTGCCTCGTCCCTGTGGGGTCATCACCTGGGGGGGGTGTGGTCAGAGGGACAGTGAAGGGACGGGCAGCCTCCCGCGGCGCAGATGCACAGCCAACGGTGGGGCAGATCGCGGCCACTGAGTGCCAAGCAACGCAGCGGCTCTGTCCGGCTCCGTCACCGTGCAGGACACCGGCACAGGAACGCAGCGTCCCCCATGCCCCGTGTCCCTCCAGCTCCGTCACCGTGCAGGACACCGGCACAGGAGCGCAGCGTCCCTCACGCCCCGCGTCCCTCCAGCTCCGTCACCGTGCAGGACAGCGGCACAGGAACGCAGCATCCCCCACGCCCCGTGTCCCTCCATGTCCCAATGAGCCCAGCTGCACATTCTCCACTCACGTTTCTGCGTGCTCGCCAGGACCGAGGCGGCCACGCTCCATGCTGTGCCCCATGCGCGTCTGTCCCTAATGCCCACTACAGCGCGTGACCCTTACGCGGGTGGGCAGCGCGCACAGCCTCCTAAAACTCCTCAGCCTGGGCTCCAGGCGCCTCCTCCCAGCAACACGAAGCCTGCCCGTGCTCCCTCACCTGCTGGGACGGTCCCCCAACCCCTCGGACAGGGCCTGCTAATCCAGCAGGAGCCTGGGGAATGGGGACGCCGGCTGGCACTCCTCGGCCCGCGGCCCTGCCAACTCCAGGGCCTCCTGCAGCTCCGGCGAGGGGCACACGAGCGATGCCGGTCTGAAACGAACAAACCACAGCGCAGCTTGGCATCAAGCAACTCACCCGAGCTGTCAATCACTCAGACCACGCCCACAGACGGCCCCTCCCACCGCTTCCCACACCGCCTGTCACTTCTGTGTCCAAGGGAAACAGGGAGCACCCCAGGAGACATCACGCGGGGTAGGAGCACAGCTGCCAACTGCGCCCACGCACGTCCCGGCCCAGCCAGGGGCACGTGGCACAGCCACCGCTGCCCGTAGAGGAGTGTCTGGCACAGGGGCCACCTGTCGCTCCCAGGCCCGGGCACGCAGGAGCCGACAGCAGGGGCTGGCCCGTCTCGCTCGGCAAAGGCAAACTGAGCTGTGCCCCCAGCCCGACTCGGCCGACGCGCCGGGCCCTGAGTCCCCATCAGCGCCCGCCCCGCCCTGGGTCGCCTACGTCTTTGGGGGGCGGCCCCTCCACCGTCATGGAGACCAGGTTCTCCCCTCGGAGCAGCACCAGACCCAAAACCCGCTTCTCTTCACGCTCCGGCTGCTTCGCGTTCTTTGGCCTGAAAATCGGAGGTAAGTTTTAGTCGAAGAAGTTGGGGGTCACTCGCTCACGAAAACATTCACGGATTGTTAAGTATACATTGAACGACAGCTGATGCCGAGAGCTCCGTGCTCAGCTGTGACAGACACAGGACTCCGTCGGTATGTGCGGTGAATCCCAAAGCTCTTTCCCCATCAAAACAATCGCCCAGAACGTCCCATCCGTGTGAAACGAGCAAAACTAAATCCTTCGTGAACGACATGCAAATGACACCGTTAAGACTTTTAAGACAGGAAAACCGAAAACTCAGCTTTCACGTTACGATGGGAAGTGAAACTTTTTAAATTATTTTTAAGTGAGTAAATCTTGATGACAGACAACTGAACAAGGGATGACAACAGTAGGAGGAAATAACGGATATCAAATGGTGAGGGAAAAACGGTTCTGAGTAACACGCCTGTGCTTCTGGCCTGACCACCCACTCCGCAACCACGGAGAATTTAAAAATACGAAACGAAAACCGTCACTGCAGTTTCTTTATGCCAGCAGCAAACATCACGCATGCACGAGGTTATGACATGTAACACAGGTGAAAAGCTAGTGACATGATGTTATTCCATAAACAGCCAAAAGTGCTATTAGAAAATAACCACCATCGTTACAACTTAAAACGTTACTGACGGAGAATCACCTCGGAACTTCGTGAGAAGAGTAAAGAAAAAATTTAGAACCCGCCAAAAGCTGATGTCAAACGCCTTCACTAACTAACAACAGGACAGGTTATTTTTACTGTGATATTTAAACAAACAACACTGAATTTCTGCATCGATGCCACGGGTGCAGAAGGAAATTCCGAATAAATACGAAGGAAGGAGAAGGTCCGTGCTGTGAACTCTGCTCAAACGTGACTAGAGCAGGCAAAGCTGGGCGTCAGCCTTTCCCCCCAGTTTAAAAAAGCTAAGTGAAGGGGGCAGAGCACGTACCACCGGCTGTGGGGACGAGACATGGAGCCAAGGCCTAGGGTGACGCCTTGCAAGTTCCGCCCCCAGGAAATGCCTGAAGTTAAGTCGTCTCGAAAGACCAGAGACGTGGCGAGCACCGACCCAGATGCCAGGGGTGAAATGCCCTGGCAGGTGAGGCGACATGAGGGCCACCAAGTCCTGCATCCCTCCTGCCCTGTCCCGCACTGCCCGGCGGGAGGACGCGCCCCAGCCAGGCACGCAGGGGGGGCCCCCTGGGCAAGGCGCAGGAAGGAGGCGGTTCCTGAGACGTGGGTGACCAGCAGAGCGCGCTGGAGAGGCACCGGGTCGACAGTGAGACGACCCGGACCAGAGGCTGGACAGCCCCACACCTCGCCGGGGCCAGCCGCGTGCAACCCACCAGCACCCGTCCACCTGCACGATGACCACGACACAGCCGGCCACGTGGCAGTTTAACTCCCAGCTAGCGACTCACTGCGATGTGGGCACAGGGACTGACTGGGACACTGACCTGGGCCAGCAGCGGCACCGGGAAAGGGCAGGCCGGCCCTGCGGCCCCCGCTCCCATGCGCACCCCCCCCCTCACGTACTTGATCTTCCGGAACTCGTCGCAGTCGCAGAGGATCAAGTTCATGTGCTTGTCGAAGGCCTTGAAGGTGCCGATGAAGATGCGGCCGTCCTGCAGGATGCAGCGCATGCGGTAGTCGATGTGCTGCAGCATCTTGCTGCTCTTGCCCACCGTCTGCGGGGGGGCGGGGCTGGTGAGCGCTCTGAGGGCCACCTGAGCCCCGAACCCCAAACCCAGCCCGCCCAAACCCCAAAACTGGCCCACCCGAGCCCCAAACCCGGCCAGCCATAGCCCCAGAGCCCAAACC